GCCCTGCGCCCGGCGGCCGCTCCCAGGAGCGCGGGCCCGGGGGCTGCCACTTGCGGGGTCTCAGCCCGGGAGGCCGGGTTCGGGGACGCAGCCCGCGGTTTCCCCCGTGCGGGCGACGGGACACCCCTGGCTGGAAGGCGTGACCCCTGCTCCCGTTTCTTGGGGGGACGGGAGACCTCCTACCCCGAGTTCATGCTCCCCAAGCTCCGGCCCAGAATCTGGCTCTGCCCGCATTCCCTGCTCCGTTTCCTCATCTGCACAGTTTGGGGGGACGTGGTCTCTAGCGCTCCTGCCCACCAGAACCGCACTGGGCTTCCTTGACTCCGGGGAGGAGGGGGATGCCAGGATGTCGCACGAGGCTGAGCTCCTGGTCCCAGTAACCTGGCTCAGACCTGCAGTGGGGCTGGGAGCCCCGCAGCGTCGCCTCGCCTCTCCAGGCAGTACCCCGGCTGCAGAACAGGTCAGCAGCCTTGTGCCAGGTGTCGCAGGGATTAAACAGGTGGCTCTTGACGCGCTCCTGCGTTCTCCTGGGCAGCTGGTGGCCAGTGCAGTTGGGGTGGATGGCATGCTCAGTTCCCAGCGGGTAGAGCAGCCATTGGCCTGGCCTGGTGCTTCCTGGGAGGAGCGTGGTGACCCCACAGGCCAGAGCCTGGCTATTAGGGTGAGGCTGCCTGTGCACTCTGTGATAGCGGGTCTGAGGGCGGTGGAGTCCAGGCCGGCAGGTCACAGTGTGCCCGGGCACCCCCGCCCTGGCAGATGGGCATGTGCCTTGCCTCCTCTCCTGGCCTGCAGGCTCTGTGGTCAGCTGTGAGGTGATGGTGGGTGCCCAGCATCAGTGTGGTGTGTGGACTCCCAGGGGGCCCTGCTCCTGGGCGGGAGCAGTGCCGGGGGCCCGTGGACCAGATGCAGTCGACGACCGCAGGGGGCCTGTGGCCTGGTCCGGACGGAGGCCCTGTGCAGCATTGTGCAGGCGAGCTCCACTGACCTCCTCAGCTCCTCCCATGTGGGTATTAGCCCAAGTTCTCAGATGAGGAGACTGAGGCCTGGGGAGGGGGAGTCAGGTCCAGCCGCACAGCCCGCAGACCTAACCAGAGCCTTGTTCCCCCATCTGTGGAGTGGGTCCCGGCTGGCCCACCCTGCAGGCTGCTGTGAGGAGTAAACTGGCGGGGCGCTGAGCCCGGGGCACAACCTTAGCCAGGCATGGGGGTCTCCCCCCCGCCCCCCAGGCACCCTTGCTGCAGATATTCAGGGGAGAGGCTGCCTTGATCAACTGAGAATTCCCAGGCTGCCCGCCAACTCCCCCGTAGTGTGCCGAGCACTGACTCTGTGGCAGGCCCTGTGCTGGACTCAGAGGTGGGTGGTGGCCGGCCCAGCCTCAGGACCTGCTGGCTGGTGGGGTAGGGCAGGTCGGGCGCCTCCCCACACCCCCAGATGGTCAGTGTGGTGGGAGAAGATGCCAGTGGTGAAGAGATGGGACCTCTGGGCTGTTTCCTGGGCGCGCCGGCCCCTCCTTGCACCTGCTCTCCTCCGGGACACCCTCCCTGACCGCCAGGGTGAGGCCGGGGCCTCTGCTGGCGCTCTGCCTCCTCAGCGCAGCTCAGGACCTCTCGGAGGGTGGCTGGCCACTGCAGGGTCAGCGACGTGGGCGTGGTGGACGGGAGGAAATCTGGGTGGGTGGGCTTCTCTCTCAGACAAGCAGGCCATTTGGAAGGTGAGGGGTCCTGGAGTTGCTGTGGGTGGGCGGGCTGGACAATGACATCAGGGCACTGGGAGAGGGCGTGCTGGCGAATGCTTGACGAAACCCTGACCTACAGCGTTAGCCGACCTGACTTCACCTCCCGTGCAGTTGGGAAGAGGCACCAGTGGGCCGAGCTGGCGAGCCCCTCCTACTCCCCACTGGGGTGGGCAGAGTGTCGGCCGATGCACAGGGCCCGCGCTAGTGACCTCACAGCCAGATGGGGACGCTGCAGCTCAGGGAGGTGCCTCACCAGCTGGCGGACCATGGCAAAAGGATGGGTTAAGTCGGAAGGGCACAGCCCTGGTGTCCAGGCCACATTTGGCCGGAGGGGCAGAGCCGGGAGCTGCTGGGGCTGTGGTTGCCAGAGAGTGGTGACCACTTCCCCAAGACCATGGGCTCGCCTTCGTTCCCAGAGGCTCCACACCTAACCGCAGGCTGTGAGCAGACGGTGCACCGTGGGCTCCCGCCTCTGGCCGGCCTTGTGCTGTGCCCTCTGGGATGCCCTCCCTGCCAGCTGCCTGGCTGGGCCACCTCCTACAGGAAGCCTTCCCAGACTACCTCAGGGCACTTTATTAGTTGCCCCACCTCAGGGTCTTGGGTGGCCATCACCTCCATCCTGGCACCCTTACTGTCACCTGCTCCCTCTGGTCCCTGGCATCCCTCGCTGTGTGCCAGGGCTTTTCCCAGAGCAACAGGGCAAGGCTGGGCTGGAGTCAGGAGGCCCTGGGTTCAGAGTTTCCTACCAGGGACTTAACACCTTGCCCCTCGGTTTCTGCATTGGTCACATGGGAGCAGCATGGGTGCGGGATCAGCCGCACAGGTGAACACCGCCTGGGCGCTTGGAGGTGTGAGGTCAATGTGACTTCCCTTCCCTCCTTCCCACCCAGACCATCACCGTGGCCCTGTGCCCCCTTGTTGGGAGCAGGGGGGCCTCTCATCATCTGGGTGGTGGTCCTCGGTGGGGCCGGCACCTCTAGAGTCACAAGGGGTGTGGAATCGCTCTAAGCAGCCAATCAGGCATTCCTCTCTCACTGAGTCAGTGAAAACTGAGCACGTACTGTGTGCTGGGCCCTGACACGCTGTGAACAGGAGCTGGGCCCTGCCCCCCTGCAGCTGGCGGTCAGGTGGAAGGGGCTCACACACGCGCAGGATGAAGATCACGTCCCGTGATGAACGTGCTGGGAAGAAATGGAGTAGGTGGGCCGTGGGGGCGGGCGGCCCTAGGACCTGTCCCCGCCGAGCCTCAGCGTCCCTTTTCTCCTTTGGGACAGTGATGCTGCGTAACCGATGGGCCGTGTGTGCTGACCGATGCATGTGTCCAGGGCCCTCTCTGCCAGGTGGGGCTCCAGGCAGTGAGGACCCGGGAACAGAACAGATGTGGCCCTGCTTCCCGGTGCCCTGCCTTCAGCGCTGGGGGGTCTGGTGGGTGGGTGGGCGGGCTGTGGGCCGCTGGGAAGGCCCAGGGCTCGGCCTCTCCCCCCTGCCGTTCTCCTGGCCAGAAGCCAGGCCTGGAAGGACTCTGAAGGCTGGAGGGAATGAGCGCAGGTCCATTTCTGCAGAACACGGCTCTGTCCCCGTCCCCAGGGCCAGAGCGTCTTGTGCTCCGCAGCTCTAGGAGGCGGGGGTGACAGCTCTGCTTACGGGTGGGGAAGCCACGGCTCGGGGAAGGTAGTTGCCAGGGTGTTGGGTGCCTGCTGTGGCCAGGCCCCTTCCCGACCCCATCCCGGTGTGTCCCCTGGCAACGGGAGGCATTGTCCACTCCTCGTGCAACAAGAGGCCCAGGATCAGCAAGGCTCCTCACTTCCCGAGGTCACACGGCCTCTGGCAGGGTGGCTCGGGAAGGAGGCCCCTTTAGTTGGACCCTACGTCTGGCCCCGTGACCCAAGCCCCCTGTGCAGGCTGGGAAGGCCGGCCCAGGTCGGGGTTGGGTGGAAGTGCCTCAGCGAGGCCCAGTTCCTGCCGCAGTGACCACTCTGCTGCCTGGCCTGGGGCCCTGGCCTGGCCTAGGGCCCATCCCCTCCCCTGCCCAGGCGTCAGTTGGGAGCCCAGGGAGTGGGAGGGTGATGCTGGGGCACACATCCCCTGCCAGCCCTTGAAGGACCGGTGGTGGTGGATGTTTGGACGTGAGGACTCAACCCTCAGCGGGTGGAGAGGTGGCTTGAGCCTCGTGGGGACCAGTGTTCTCTCCAAGAGGCGACAGTCCATCAGAAGGTGGGAGTGAGATTCTGCCGTCCCCGGCCGGCGCAGCTAGGGGGTAGTTTAGGAGATGCTTGTCCAGCAATCAGACCTGAGCCAGGCATCCCTCCCCCACGGCCCCAGGGTCTCAGGCCTCTGGGCCATGACCCCCTCTCTGTCCTGGATCTTCTGGGCCACCACCTTTCTTGTGCACCTACCGTGTGCCCTGACCGAGCTTGGCTGAGTCCTGGCTGGGACGAGCTCGGGACGCAGGACCCTGGAAGGTCAGTGTAGGCTGACCGTGAACGAAGTGGTGCCCAGAGGAGGTGGGGCAGAGCCCTTGGGCTGGGCCCAGCGGGGCTAGGGCCAGCAGGGAGGGAGCCCCGTGTCCTGTGCTCGGGAGTTGTCTGCTAGACGAGAGGCCAGTGGGGCCAGGCGCGGAAGGTGGGGTCGAGGCCCCACTCTCCTGCTGGGTGACCCGGAGGTGTCACCGACCGAGGTCTCCCTCTGCGCCAGCACAGGACGGGCTGCCCCAGATCACTGTTGGCTGAGGAAGCTGCTCTTTGAGGAGCACACGCATGTCCCCCCGGAGCCTCTGATGTCCCCGATCAGGAAGCACCGTTGCTGGTGTGGGCGGATGGAAGTTGGGAACCCCCAGATTGCAGCATGCTGTGCTGACTCAGATTCTGGGGGATGGAATGTTCTAGAGCAGGGTGTGGGATGGAGCAGGGCCTGTAGGGGTTCCACTCCCCTGGGTTATGGTCCTGGGAGTGGGGGCATCAGGAGGAGGGCTCCCACCATGGGGGTCTGGGGGTCTTGGGTGTGTGGCTGGGAGCTGATGTGCTGGAACAGGACTGTGGGCCGAGGACATGGGGATGGGTCTGCCATGGGTCTCCCCAGCGTCCAGCCCTGGGCTGCCCAGAGCACGCTTAGTCGATGACAGGTCATTGGCTGAGTGGCTTTAGGCCAACTCTTGTCCTCTGGGGTCTCAGTTTCCCCTCCTGCAGGAGGGGGCTTGGACCTGCTGTCTAGGGCTCCTCCATCCCCCGGCCCCTCCTGGGAGCCGCAGGAGCCAGTTCCCACGGCCTCCCTCGCCACAGAGACCCCGAAGCCAGGGCTGGCCCAGCTGGAGGAGGCGGGCGGGCGGCTCTGCCCGTCCCCTTCCCATGGGACCAGTGCTCCCGGCCGGCGCTCTCCTGGCCCCCGGCCCCTCTTGTGACTCAGGCTTCCTGGAAGAGGCCCGGGAGGGTGCTGCGGAGGATTCCCCGCCACCCCACCCAGAGTTCCCGCCCGCCCGCCCCCTCACCACCCCTGCGGCTACACACGGTGGGCTTTACCTACTGGTCTGCTCTGCCCTGGCCCCGGAGGTGCCCCTTCCTGCTAGCAGGCCCCCCCCCGCCCCCCGACACCGTACTGTCTGCTGGTGTCGGGACGCCAGCCCCTCCCCACCCCCTCGCCTGGCCCGGGCCCTGCCAAAGCAAACATTTCTCTCCTTTCATCTCCTCGCGGGGCAGCTGCTGGGCTTCCTCCTGGGCGCCCTTCTCCCTGGCTGCCTGCCCAGTGGCCCGTCTGCTGGGAATTGCCATGCGGAGCTCAGGGGTGCCCGGGACTGCCCGGGGCTCCCCCCGCCCCGACCTCACTGTCCTCTCCACACGGCCCTAGGGAGCCTGGAGCTGTGGCCCCAGCTCTGCCAGGCCTCTCTGGGTGACCCTGGGCCTGCGCCTGCCCTTCCTGGGCCTCGGTTTTCTTGTCTGGAGAATGGGAGCAGACCATGGACCTTCCACCCCCACCCCCAGCCGACTGGCGGAGGGGTCAGGACAAAGCCAATGGCCTTGGGGGTTAAGCCCCAGCCCCTGAGCCGGGCTGCCTGCTCCCACTCCTGCATCTGCCCCGTATGACCGGACTAGGGGAGGCTCGCCATTTACCGTCTCCGAGGCCTGTGACCTCGGGAAGAGCCATCTGTGGTGCCTCGGTTTCCCTGTCTGTCAGGTTGTGCTCTGGGGCCTGGCCCAGTGCAGGGGTGGGCAGAGAGGGCCCAGCGTCCTGCAGTGAGAGTGCCTCCTGGCCGCAGGAGCTCACATGGGGGGAGGGACAACATTCAAACAGTGCTCTAACTATGTTGTTACTGTTTTAATCACAGGTTTAGTGAGGTTCCTTATAAAAATGCAAAAAGCCCAGGAGATTCGTAACTGCTGCGGGCTCTGGGCTTCTGGGCATATGCTTGACTTCACAGGAACAGACTGCTCACATGTGCTGTTTTGCATCTCTTGAGATTTCCCTTAATGCTGCATGTGGACCTCTCCCCTCATGGCACTCGTGGGCCCAGGTCCTGGGTCTGGATGGACCCTTGTTTGTTAATCAGGACCCTTCTGATGGACTCTTATAAACAGGGCCGTCATCCTTCCGTACCATCACCTCCATCTTGGCTGTGTAGTGGCCTCACTCCTGCCTCCCACTGCCTCTTGAGGGGTGGCCCAGCCCTGCACTGGCCCTCGTGGGGGATGGGAGGAAGCAGAAAGAGGTGGTCGTACCCCAGAAGGGACCTAAGGGTGGACAGGACCCACGGGAGACAGCAGTCACCTTCTTGGAGGGTGTCCCCAAAACTTTGAGGCTGTGGTGGGGCATTAAGTCAGGGTGGCCTTCTGGGAGGAGGTGGCATCTGGCCTGGGCTTGAAGGATGTGGGCATCACAGTAGCTGGAGGGAGGGGGCTCCAGGAAGAGGGGGCTGGGTGAAAGCAGGCTTCCCGGGGCCCAGGGCCTGATTGAACAGCATCACCCGAAGCGATACCGTTGTGAGCTGGCTCGGGGTGGACGGTGGAGCTCGTCCAGGGCCCCTCTTCAGTCCTCATGGTCAGCTGTGTGGCTGCCGCCGCCGCTGCCTGTTTCCCAGGCGGGAAGGCTGGGTGTTTGAGGCCGAGGACCTGCTCGGGGTGGCGGGTTGGGACGTGGGGCTGGGATGGAAGGCGGGCGCGTTAGTGCCCAGTACTCTTTCAGCCGGGGCTGTGCGGTCCTTGCAGAGTGGCCTGGGGCCAGACTGTCCGTCCCCTCGTTTACAGATGAGGTGCCTCCAGGTTTGTGTGCGACTAAGGGGGCAGAGGATCCCATCCCTGCACAGTGGCTGGCTTATCCTGCCCTGGAGACCCTCCCCTCTGTGGCCTCGGTTTTCTCTGTCTCTGAAATGGGGCTCAGAGGACTGGCCTCCAGTGGGGGGGGGGCCTGATAATGAAAGGGGCATCTGTGAGCGGAGGGGAGGTCCTGCTCTGGCCTCTGATGTAACTTGCCTGTCTGTGCCTCAGTTTCCCCTTCTGTAAATGGGAGTGCGAAGCCCTCTTGTGGGGGTGCTGGGAGGCGTAAGGGGGGTGGGTGGTGG